TGCCCGTCTCCAGTGGCTCCCTGGTCTGTGTTATTTTCATTTGATCCAGTGACTGTATTTTACGCTCGACACTCAGATGCCAGAGTGCTCCCCCTCAATATCATCCTCTCAACCCGGGGCAAACGAATGGCGAAGACAAGAATGTTGAGGCAGGCCTCACCGCTGTTTCGCACTGATACCTCTTATCTCATCGGCTGGATGAATTGTCAGTTGCTCGAAGTTGTCCAGAGGTGATAGGTCCGGAACCTTCTTCTGCATCCTACCCCTTGCGTTTCCTCGCCCTAGTCTGTCTGTGCAGCTTGGGCTATCCACGACTCCAACAGTCGTACCCCACCATCTTCGCCCCCCACCTCTGCCTGTCTCTTCCGGCCTTTTCCCCATCATTCTCTTGTTTCTGGAGTCGGTGACTGCCATCGAGTGTCGGTAAGTGAGAGGCTTGCGTCAATTCGATGGCCGCACCTGTCTGGAATGTTTGCTTCGTAAACTTGCTTTTTTTTTCTAATCCCAGTCTCTTTGTCGGGCGTGTCTTGGAGGACAAATGCCTTGTCTGACGTCTCGCCTCTGCTGGAGTCTGGATGGATGATGTCCGATCAGGGAGGGTCCGAGCATTCGCAGGAGTGATACCGTGCTCCTGCCCTGTTCTGTCCTGCCCTGTCCTGCTATGCGATGCTAGTGTCAGATTATCTTGACTCTCGTGCCCTGACACCCGGCCGCCCACCTTGATGAACTCCTGTCAGCACCCATGAGTTCAAGCAAACTATGACATACAGTAGTCCAACCGGCGCCAGGACTTGCCTGTCGGCGTGCCTGCTTGCCTGCCTGTCCGTTATGCACGCCTGACCCTTCCCGCACAGGCTGAAGAATCGGCCAAGCCATCCAGGCCAACGACCGCTGCAAGTCAACTCTGGGTTTCCTTCGTCATGCTACATACTTTGAACTTACTCCGTACGTACTTGTTTCTTGCTCTCAGCCAAACCTCCAGGGCAGCTTAAGCATACTGCACGGAGCGGGCCGCCTATTACCTACCTAAGTGTCTTCCTGGGTGCTTCTTCCCCCATCCTCCACTCTCCACTCGAAAACCCGGATGGAGGTTTCACCGGCTGTGGATTGGAGTAGATGGCCCTTTGTTCTCGGTTCTTGATCCTGGCTTGCGAGATTATTACAATTATTTTTGCGTCAAGCCTGAAAGAAGCGGAGTACTACGAGTCATAATAATGGCAATGACAAGGATCAGAACTCACAGCGCTACCGACGGCCCGACGCCCGCAGCCGTCGTACATACTGCGGCAGATCTTGCGGGGCTCCTCCTCGCCTTCTGCTCATCTGCTGTGAGTAGTAAAATTGGCATGGAGCGGACTCATCATGGCAAGTGCTGCTGTCGAGCGCAATTCCATTAATTGTCACCACTCACCATCGAAGAGGCCAGGGAAACCCCACCAGGAAACTCGCCTCCGGATCGGAAGGAAGCGCCTCGCAAGTCGGGCTAACTCGAAGCAGTCGATGCAGGTGACCGGCCAGCGACGGACCTCAGGCCATGAACAAAGCCGAAAAAGCAATTGTGCCCTTAGTGCTTGGGCGATAATGATAAGGATACCCACGGGCGCCGGAACGGAAGGTCGGAAGAGGAATGGTCGAGGAACTCGATCTGGCCTGGGCAAGAGCACTCAGCAGGGATCGTCGGTGGTCAAGCCTGGAGCCTGGGGGCGTTGAAAACTTGAAAATTGCAAAACATAGCTAGGCTGGAAAGCAGTGGACGGTGATCCTACTTGGCCCTTAGCTTGAGAGTTAGTTAGCCGCTGGCCTTTCTCCCAAGAGAGACCAGTCGACGACGGAGCTGGTTAGCAGATTGAAGATTGACAACGCATCCCGGGCTCCAGCGACTTCATTGGCCGTGTGCTGGATATCGCGAGACAGGCGGGTTGGCCCTGGAGTGATTCCAGTTCGCGCCGTGGATTCGTGGTGGGGCTGATGAGGCCCTTTATCCGCAATGTTCGGACTGTTGTGAGGCGCGAGTCGTGCCTCTCCGAAGTGACGAGTCTGAGCCGAAGTGGTTTTGTCACTTTTGCCGCCCTGTGCCGCAAGTATCTGTTGTCCGGGACTCCTCTCTCTGGTGCTCTTACTGAATCCAGAAAAAAGAAACCAAAAAAAGTCTCGTTTTCATATTCAGTGTCAACCGTCAAAGTGACAACGCCGGCAATTACCCGCGAGATCTGGACCATGGAATGTTCCTCCTGACTCGTACGCTGCCTTTTTCCCAGGCTTGAGTCTTGACGGCACCGTCAAGATGCGCAAGATACGGCTGTACCTGCAGCCCTGGTGCAGAGCCGCAGTCCCTACAGCGCCTCTATACTCTCCTCGTCCACGCATACATACACCGCACATAAGCAAATCGAGATTCAAACCTACTAGCCGCCTGGGCTGGCGGTCCCGTACAGTAGTCTCGGAGTGAATATTCTTATTCTTATTACGGAGTCCTTTTACTTGAAACATGAAACCCGGGGAGGACCTCGGTCATGGATGCGCTCTGTGCTTGCCGGGAGTTTAGTCGGCTCAAACCAGGCAATTGCGAACTGCTCTGTCAGCCTGTCTGAGATCGGGAAAAGAAGGAATATTTTCCATGTCTTCCCCTGCGTTGTACCCTGGTCTGTGTGACACAACTCCGTACTCTCTCCGCCGGTGAGGACTGAGGATATTCCAGGGATGGTTATTGTGCAACCCACCCATTTCTTTTTTTTCCCTCTTCCTTTTTTTTTCAGTTTCTTTTTTTCTTCTTCCTTCTTTCCTTCATTTTCTCTTCTCGTTATGTCGTGATCCCGGTTATTACGATAATCGTGATCTCCCGAATCATGGCCGCAAAACTCGACGGTCTGTGACGGACAAGATAGCACTCGCCCGAGGGATTCAGTAAGCGCCAGCTCATCAGCCACGCAGCCAATCGCCGGACAAGACAGCATGATGGCTGTCAAGAACTTTTCCCGAAATCCTGATCCTCTCGTCGACGGTCTCAGATCCCACCTCTCTAGTCGTTTGAAGTTTACGAAACTAGCAGGAGCCTAAGGTGGTATATCTGCAAGCAGTAAATAACCTCACATTGCATCCAAGATAGAATTTGCCCGTGCACGATCCTGATCTCCGTCCGCCTCGTCTTACCGAGTTACCGTACATTGCAAATGCAATGCCGCTGCATGATAACTTGTCTCCAGAGTTCAGAGTTCATCAACTCCATCGAAATTCAAGGCTGAGCGAGTCGAGTTTCAGTCTTCTACGGGTTTCCTGTTCTGTCTACTTTCTGTTCCACCTGGGCACGACCCTGGTCTGAATATTGTCCTCTTCCCCATTTTGTGAAGAGGGAAAAAAAAAATAAAAAATAAAAAAAAAAGTCTCCGTGCTGCATTGTCGGAGATTACCCTCGTAATTTGTGTAACGATGCTCCAGCACCGAGCTGTTTGTCATTGTCCAATCTGGGCATGTCGGGGGAGGAGAGAGGAGTCTGGAAGAGGAGGGGAGGGGCGAGAAAGCGATACGGATGAGGGATGGATGTTTGCCTGTCTCCAGTCATTGTCAATTATCACATCCAAGCGGAGACTGTGATGAGGTGGAAGCACACAGCTGAGACTCCGTCAAGTCCGTCCGTCCTCGGGAGGATAATGAATCCCTTCCAATCCCCTCCACGACGCCAGCTCCTCGCCAGGCCAAGTCAGTTGTTATGGCGCACGGACAGTCCATCTGGATCGAACCAGCCTGACTCTTCGAGCGCAGTCGCCCAGCTCCTCCTCTCGAGACTCTGTGAATGACTGTGTCCTCGGCGAATGAGGGGGTCCAGACTCTGGGCTGGGCGATCCGTCGACTGGCCGGGAGAGCAACCACGTAGACGAGCTAGCCAAACTGTTGTCTCCACTCCCTCAACCACGATCACACAGGGCCGTCAATAATAATCATGAAGGCAATTATCTCTCGCCCTGCCAGACAGACAACAGGAATCAATAGTAGCGATCAAGGGAGGGAAATCAAATCGCAGGCAAGTCAGCTGCTCTCTCTCCCTCTCCCCCGTCTTCAGGTCATTCAATGGCCTGGCCTGGCCTGGCTTGGTCGTTTCTCTTGTAAATTCGCAGACAGTCCTGATTGACGACTGACTGCTCGGTGAAAATGTGTTGGCGCTGTCTCGGCCTATCATCCCACACTCAGACTCCCCCTCCTCTTTCCCACCGTGTCAATCATCTCTCTTTTCTTTCTTCCTTGCCCTCTTTTTTTCCTTCTTTTCCTGTCTCTCGTCTCCGTTTCGTGTCCTTGAGAATTACTGTACAAATTTCACCTTTTTACCCTACTCGGTTAGTTACTGCTACACCAATAAACTCAGCAAGTCCCCCAGTCGTAACTAGTGGGTAGTTAGTCAACTAAAGTCGGAATGACGACATGGTATAGTATTAGTGGGCTGGGCTGTGTGGACTGTGATCGGAATGATTTCGCCTGCTGGGGCCGCCGCTGGTGCGGTGGTTTCAGCTGCAGCGAGCCGTGCTGCATATGCATGGGGATCTTTCTGCTAACTCTGAGCTTCTGAATCAGGTTTTCTTTTTCTTTTTTTCGGGCCTGCGCTTTCCGCTTGCCGCTTGGGCTTGTGTAGGTGTAGCCCTGGTTAAGTTAACGAGTTGAGGATTTGAGATGTGTGAATAGGGCTTTTACTGTAGATTTTGAAATTTTTACTAGGTTGTTTGTTTGTTGGCTACCTGTTTAAGATATATATTCTGGCTTCATTGTGCGGGTGTGGTGTTCCGCGGAGTTGTAATGGTATATATATATATATACACCCTTATACTATGATATTTGGTAGATACAGTAGATTACCAGTTATGCACATTAATATGTAATTAAATCAATTATCATCGCAGCGACCGGCTCATCTAGGGTATAGTACGTACATCTCTCATAATACATGCAGAAACAAATGGAGAGGGGGAAATGGAAAAAAAGAAAGAAGAAACAGCAATGCCTGAACGATGAAATTATGCAGAATAGTCACGCACTTGGTAGCTCGGCTTCCGCAGCTTATTCACGACTGGTGGCGGCTCGTCGACTGGGTACGGCGGTCGCCCGGTCGCGGCTGCGGGCGCAAGAGCTGGGTGTAGTCCTGGACTCGGCACTGGCATTTGAATTCCTCCTAGCTCTGCAGTGTCTGGGTAGGGTATTGGTGTTTTGGGAGGGATGGGCGGTGGCCCTGAGTGCGAGTGTGAATGTGAGTGTGAGTGCACGTGGTCGAAGCTGAGGCGTGGAGGCGAGTAGGCTTGCGATGTTGGACGGCTGGGTTCGTTTGAGCTGATGATGTCGCTTACTGAGGCGCGCCCAGAGGATGGGCGGATTGCGTCTTGCGGTGTTGGGTGTATGGGGAGCTTGTCGTCGTTGGGCTGGAGTTGGATGAAGTCGCCGGGGAGCTCCGCGGGGAGTTCGATCGCGTCGGGAGGGGGTGGTGGTGGTGGTGCGTGTGCGGGCGCGGGCGTAGGCGATGTTACTGAGAGACGAGGGCTCGGAGCTAGCGACGAATGGTCATCTTCGAGTAGAGTGTTAGGGTCGTGTCCGGCTGCGGTGTGGGCTTCGAGACGACGGTGCATGCGTTCAATTTTGGCAAACTTAACGCTCGCGTCGAGAATCATCTTCTTCACGTCCGGTCGCGAGAGGTAGCGACGAGTGTTCGTGCTGATGTCTGCGAGACGGTGCCACTCGTTCATGCCGAATTCGCCGACTCCAACCTCGACGTTCAGCCGGTAATAGTTGTCCTTGCTCACGTTGCGCTTGGGGAGATGCTCACGGAGCATGTCATGGTGAATATCCTCGCAGCCCTCAATCTTCGTAATCAGCCGGCGGCGCGCCTCGGCGAATGTGCCTAGAGCATCGCCGAAAAAGTCCTCCCACCACTCGTGCTGGCGATTGTTGGTGTCGGGAGGGCGCTTCCCCGTGCCAACACTGATAAACACTCCAATCTCACGCCCTGGCCACTCGTTGACAACTGCCTCGTCTAATACTTGTGGCGAGGGGTTGTATGTGCCGGGGCCTTCGTCAATGAACCAATGTTGTCCGATCTGAATAGGCTTGAAAGCTAACCCTGTAGCCGAAGTTGCGCGGCCGGCCTGCCAAACCGTGCAGTTATACTCGGGTGCAGGCTCCTTGCGGGAGTCATAGGACCGAAGGAGCACTGAGTTTCCGCCCTTGGTCGTGCCTCGATACAACGCCGTAACAGCTGTCTTTGTTCGGTTCTCCCGGTTATCATATAACAGCGCATCTGGATTCCCCCATCTCAGGCCATTGATGAATGCAGAACTGCGGTTGTTCATCGACGAGTGCGTCGTACTCTGGCTCGCGCGACTTCCAGATCGCTGCGGGATGGACGTCGTCGAGAAGTTTGGGCTAAATGGAGCGTATGCCGGCGATGTAGGCGAAGTAGCATCATTCCCTTCTGCTCCATAAATTGTATGTTCCCGTACACACTCCCGGATGGCTTCTTCGAGTTTTGACGCTTTGAATAAAGTCGAACGAAATGGGATACCGGCAAAAGTCTTGTCTGTTTCAAACACCCGCCGGGTCATGCGCACGTAGACCTCCTTGCAGGTTTCGAGGTCGAGTCGTAAGCGGCCCAGCATCAGGGCAATCAGACCGCCAGTACCGGTACCGGCGATAAGGTCGAAGTAATCGCATGGTTTGGGGACCTGGTCGCGTCGCGGCGGTTTTCCTTCTGCCTCGACGTAGACGCGATGCATCAGTTCCTGGAGGAGGATGAGCATGGAATATCCTCGCACGCCACCTCCATCTGATCCAAACAGTTAGTTTCGTCATAGTAGAGTTGAAGCTGGCGGGGAATAGCTACCGAGGGACAGGATCCTTAACGGAGGGCCCTTTGTGGTATCTTTACGGCGAACTTGATCCATGGCAATGAAGTCCGAAGCTTGAACCAAAATACAGGAAAGGAGAATGCGGGCTGAAGGAGGGGGAAATGAAGTCGAAGTGGTGCAGCCAAGAGTTCTGTGCACAGCCGCAGCTTCAGGCGAGTTTGTCTCAGCTGGTGGCTAATTTTATGCCTGACGACCCTCTTCGTCTTACTGGCCACACTACGATTCGGCGACTCGGTCTCACTTAACGTCACCAGGCAGCCGTATTCACTTTCTAATCTAACTATTACTCACAGATCTCGCTGGTTAGCCCAATCCGGGCCAGTCTATTCAGGTCAGCTCACCGACTCACCCCGGATTCCTCGGATTCTGGAAATCTTCTCGAAGCTAAACTTACCATAAACAGCCCGCTGCTCCATCCGCCTCGCCACAACAACATCATCGCCGACGCGAACCGTCTTTAGGTCCGACTTGGCATCCAGAAACCCATATCGTCCAAAGATCGGACTATATTTTGCGCCCTTGTCAACCCTGCGATCACCCATGAGCTTCTTAAGCACCTTTCCAGCGTCGCCGGTCCCGAATTTCCCGGTAGCAAAGTCCACGTTTAGGCTTTGGCACCTCGCACAGTTGGCCGTCAACAACACGCGGATCTGAGAACTACCAACAACCAACTCGGCCCAGAAATCCTCCTCGTACGCCGTCTCTGATCCTTCAACAACTATGTTCGCCCGGAACTTCCTCCTATCCATCTCAACCCTCTCCAACCGGCGGGAGACATCTGCCACGGACGTCTCGTTAATAACCAAGAACGCTGCGGAATCCGCAAACGTGATGCGGTCCCCTCTCCCAGATCCCACCCTCCAAATAACCAAAAGATATCCTAGTCCGCCCATAGCGACTGTCGCGCCAACACCCATACCGGATTTCCACGAATGATCATAGCCCAAAGCACCACCAGCCACAACCTCAGACCTAGACATCCTCATAGCCGTAAACCCCATCCAAAGAACCCCCAGAACAACAAGAAGCGCCGCAAAAACCGCACCTAGGTCCAACTCTCGCCGCATCTGGTTCTTGTGCGCGACGTGCTTCGCCGGCGCGAACGCCCCCAACACAGACCTAGTATTTCTACCACCCAAATATGCCAGCACAACCTCGTACCCGAACCGCTCGCTAAGCCACTGGTTGTACTTTGCGCCCATGTTATACCCTTTCGTCGGGGACCCGTGCATCACGATAGCGAGCTCATCAAGGCCCCTTGTGTTAGGGGTAAGTGGGACATCAATCGTGTCTCTATGACCCCTTCCTTGTGCATGCCCAGTCCCGTCTACCTGCTCCTCAGTCTCAGATCCAGATCTAGGATGATTATATATGATCCTTAATCTCCCCCTCTCGTCTTCACCATCAACCCCCGGTTCAAACAATTCCGTCTCAAACAATGCCATCTCAGGAAAATGCGGAATGTGCATGTTCTTCAGCGTTGTTTCGCCTTTGGTTTCCGCAGAAGGGATGGCCTTCAGCAGCATGAAGCGGCGGTCATATTTGAAGCCCAGCCGCGTCACCTGGGCTGAGGTAAGGGAGACCCCGCGTAGGGACTTTACGGGGTAGACGTAGATCTGGGTTGGTGATTTGTTGGGCCAGTTAGCTTATGCTATGAAATGGCTGTAACAAGGTATTGCTCTGGGAGTGCGATTCTGATGAATGGGGGAAGGGGAGTTGGTAGTAGACGCACCTGGCTGACTTTCATGACGGGTAGGGGTAATATTGCATATATAATTATTTCTGTAGAGGTTCTGTAGGACAAGGAAATTGATGAAGCTTTGATGGATAAGGGGGTAGGCGGGGTATAAGGGATGGATCCGTGGTCTATGAAGAGCTGGGTTTGGAGTCAGATCATGGTTACATACCAATAGAAGGACTATCTTGACTCGGATCCGCGACCGATACGGGGAGGGCGGCCGACGCGCCCGAGGGCGACCAGGGAGCTGGAGGAGTCTCCTCCCGTCTCAATACCATATTCCTTCGTTATTGCGTTATCGTCTTGGCTGTAAGATTCTCGCTCCTATCAGGTTGAACATGTCCATTGGATGTAATGACTCATCTCTCATGAGAAAGTTGCGGTGTCTTGGATATCGACCTATCGTGTTGAACATAATTACATATAAACTTATAAAGGGAATCTACTCCTTCTTCCATGGGAGGCTAAACGTGCCGGCCCAATCCTCGACTTCCTGGCGCAGCTGCACAATCTCCGAGAACTCCTCACCGTTACCTACATATTCCAAGAATGCCTTGACAGTGTTGGGGTTCTTTGCGCCCTTGGCTGCGGCGGCCTCCTTAGCCGGCTTGTCCAGCTTCTGCGTGATTGTCACTGCGCGGTCGACAATGTCTGCAACACGGCGGAAGTCCTCTGGCTGGAATCCGCGGGTGGTCATAGCGGGGGTGCCGAGTCGCAAACCGCCAGGCTTCAGCGCGGACTTGTCTCCCGGGACGGTGTTCTTGTTGCTGGCAACACCGCAGAGTTCGAGCACGCGCTCAACACGAGCTCCATCAACACCGCGGTTCTTAAGATCCATCAGCACCAAGTGGTTGTCCGTGCCACCGGACACAATGTTGTAGCCCAGGCCTCCGCTGCTTGTCGGGCCACCCAGGCGCTCAGCCAGAGACTGGGCGTTGGCCAGGACCGTCTCCTGGTACGTCTTGAATTCAGTCGACTGGGCCTGCTGGAGAGCCACGGCCAGCGCGGTGATCGTGTGGTTGTGGGGGCCACCCTGGTGGCCTGGGAAGACGGACGCATTGATGGGGCCCTCGAGATCATACATCTCTGGGTTGCCCTTCTTGTCCGTCCTGCGGACGCCCTTGCGGAAGAAGATCATGGCCCCTCGTGGGCCGCGGAGCGACTTGTGCGTGGTAGTTGTCACAACATCAGAGTGTAAGAACGGCGAGGGAACGACGCCGGCAGCCACCAGACCAGAGATATGTGCCATGTCGCTTAAGAGGTAGGCGCCCGTGTTGTCGGCAATCTCGCGCATGCGGGGGTAATCAATCAAACGGCTGTAGGCTGATGTACCGGCGATGATAAGTTTCGGGCGGTAAAGGAGGGCCTGCTTTGCGAGGGCATCGTAGTCGATCAGACCTGTTGACTCGTCTAGGCGGTAGGGGAAAGTCTCGAAGTATTTAGAGATGAACGAGATCTTCTTCGTAGGTGTCTGATAGCCGTGGGACAGATGACCACCATGCGGCAGATCCAATCCCATCAATCGGTCGTGCGTGTTGAGAAGGGCGGAGATGGCGTATAGGTTCGCGGGGGAGCCGGAGAGCGCTAAGAGGTCAGCATAAGGCCATTAGTAGTAGGAAGAGACGCCCTTACGTTGAACGTTCACCCCCCACTCTTCCGGGCTGAGACGGAAGGTCTCAAGGGCGCGCTGCTGGCACAGCCTCTCGGACTCGTCGATATGCTCGTTTCCTCCATAGTATCTAGCTCCGGGGTATCCTTCGGAGTATTTGTCTGCCAGAATTAGCATTGCCCGCAAGAGCAAATCATGGCGGACGTACTCTGCATAACACTGCCCAGCGCATCTAGAACAGCTTGGGATGTGAAGTTCTCTGAGGGAATGAGGTTGATGAAGTGCTGCTGTCTTTTTTTCTCCTGTAATGGGTGAGCTCATGGGCCGAGGATAGCGGGTGAGGGGGAAACCCCTACCTTCTGGAGAATGTTGTAGACCGAGGGGTCAGCTTCCTGGAGAGGCGCAGAGAGCAGCTGTATAGCCAATTAGCTCCATGTTCTTCACTCGTTTCTATTAGTCGCTGTATGGGTTCTCACCGATTGCTGGCTGTTCGACGATGATAACATACGATGCCATTGCAATGAAGGCGGTCGGGGCGCGGAGGCAGGGCGCGGGAGGAGGCGCGAAGCCTGACGACCACAGCGGCCTAGCATGGTGATTCGCAACTTAAAGAGGACTGTCTCTTACAGAATTGGCGAAGGCGGGAAAGAAGAAAAGAAAGAAGTACCTATAAGTAGATAGGAAGAGACTCCGCCGTATCGTCGGACAAGGTGACGTCCTGCTGTTGCCCGCGGGAAGCTGATGCGCTAGTCCGCACTTGGACTAGCATCTCCGGGCTGGTCGGTGCGGCGGGAAATTAATGATCCGCCCGCACACACAAAAGTCGTCCTCGGTTCGCGCTTCGCTCCCTTTCTTCTCCTCATCACACAACTAAATCCAAGATGAAGAACGGCGTTATCTGGTCAGCTCTCGTGGAGGTCCGGCTTGCTGGACATCCCGGGCGATGCGGCCATGTCCCCGCCTCTCACCATCCATAAGGGACAATGAACCATCAGATTGGAAGTGTGTGATAGCCTGTTTGGCACATTCCTCGGCATGAACCGGTGAGGAGAATACGGGGGTAGTTTATTAGGAGTTCGGTCGTCGGGTACGAGATATGGAGTCCTGTTTCAGGAGGACTTCAAGAGGACGGAGTAATCATAATAATCAGAAACATCGTAGTAGTGCGACTATTTTGTGCAGTGATCGAGTTGGTGATGGATAATTGGTGTCGATCGCCAGAGACCGGATCTCGACTCTTCCAGGCTCGACACCGAAGAGTTTGCGTTGATCTCTTCGCGTCCGGGATCTGTTGGTCTCGGGGATCGTCTGCTCGTCAGTCGGTCTAGACTCGCCACTCTGCTGTTCCAATTTTCACTTGAAGACTGTGAACTCTGATGAAGTTACGCAGGAGTGCCCGACTGGTCAGTCGTCACTGAGTTGGCAGGCTGCAAGGTACAAGAAGTTTCTTGCAAAGGGACAACTGTAACTGCGCCTGTGGTCACAGTCTGTGTCACTCTGACACGCAGAGTCCTTGAGACAGACAGTGTCAAGTGCCTGCAAGGGACTGCCACAGACACTTGGTTTACTGAACTTTGTTCGACAAACTCAATAATAAGCACTGACTGAGTCGTAGCAATAGTCAGGTCCAAAAATGGTTCTCAGTCTCGCGAGCCCAAGCCTGCAGACTCCCCCGACCTGGTTCCGTGGTCCGCCGGCGATCAAGACAGTCGTTCCTGGACTGATTCAGGTCCCAGCATGTTCCAAGTTCCAACAATCTTGTCTACATTTCCTCCGGCTAGGGGCAGAGCGGTGGATTCGATGCACGCCTGGACTCGGATGGATCTCGTTCAAGGCCGTCAAGGCAGGGGAACGTGGAGAGACGAGCAGGGCGCCCCTATAATAGCAATAACACGAAATTAAGATCAGAGGGCGAGTCAAAGGAAATTAGCCCAGAAACGCCTCCACCAACAGCCCCTGACGCCGCTACGATTCGACTGTTCAAACCAGACTAACGCACTAGTCTCGCCGGCGCTGCCTGTTCCTGGCTTGGAGTCTTGGGCAGCGTGGGCTGCTGCTGTTTATATGACTCCCCCCCGTTCCTGTTCTCTCGCTCCTCTTCTTCCCTCCTCAGCCCGTTCTGCCTCCATCTGCCAAACGTACTCACTCCCGGTTCCCAACCGATTACACTCTTTTCACACCCGTTGTTTATCAACATCCACTCTTTAACCCCAATTAATTCTCTCTCTTAAAAATCCATCTTTCACAATGAAGTTCTTCGCTGCTGCTGCCCTCTTCGCCGCTGGCGCTACTGCTGCCCTTCAGGGTGGTGCTGCTGTTGCTGAGAGCTCTACCGCTCAGCCTCAGTCTACCACTACTGTTGAGGTCACTGAGTACACTACCTACTGCCCCCAGTCCACTACCCTGACTATCGGCACCGAGACCGTCCCCGTTGAGACCGTACGCATATCCCTCCTGAGCAGACGATCATGAGTGAAAACTAACTTGGATACCAGCCTGGCTCCGTCACCCTCTCCAACGGTCCCTACACTGTTCACCGTCCTCTGATCACCACCACCGTCACCCGCTGCAAGGCCTGGTATGTCCACCGAATTCACAATCCCTCGGATTTTATCCAAATCTAACCGTCCTCTAGCTCTAGCTCTGCTACCGTTGCTCCTTCCAGCTCCGCTGTTACCAGCATCCCCGTCATCCCCTCCGCTGCCCCCACCGGTGTTGCCCCTACTGGTGGTGCTTCCAGCACTACTCCTGCTCCCCCCACCTTCACTGGTGGTGCTAGCCGCGCTGCTGCCGGTGCCGGTGCCGTCGCTGGTCTTTTCGGTGTTGTTGCTGCCCTTCTCTAAGCGCCTCGCTCTGTTCTGAGTGGTGTGTGTTTTGAGTGAAAATTGGGTTTGGGGAATGGGAGAGTCGATCAAGATGGTGTACTACTTGCTATTCATACCTTTGGTGTGCAGTTGGCTTGATTGGTTGATTGATTGATTGTTGAGTTGAGTTGATCGATCGGTTTGATCGATGAATACGACAGATACCAATACCTTTGACTACTTTATTTCGAATTGCTTATACCTTTTACTTACTTCTTGTACTTCACGATTTGACCTGGCTGTTCTGTTTCATTGTGTATAGGTTAATTGGATACATCTAATGCTGTTATGCTCTGAACAAATTCCTCAATTTAAAATAAGTAACTATTTGGAATCATAAACCGATAAGTGCTTGTAGATCGTTTATATATACCCCATATACGGCTTACAAAGATATATATAGGTTGTAAGGTGGGTGCTGTGCGGCTACAATTTCGCCCTAACACCCGCCTTAGGGCTTCCCTGGAAATATTCCCGGACCCTCTCTCTTGCAACCTCCACAACTGCCCTATCCTCCACCGTCGGAGGCACGCCAACTTCCCTGTCAAACTCTCCCTTTACTCCATTCTCCACCAACTCTCTCAAGACTCTTCGTAGTGTCTTCCCACTCCGCGTTTTCGGAATCATCCCCTGGCCTTGAATCATACCTCCCAGCGACGCAATGGCGCCGATTTGATCGCGCACGAGCCCATTCACGCCTTTTAGGAGATCTGCGGATGGTCGTGCCGGCAAGTCGCCGCTGGCTGGCTTCTTTAGTGTAACAAAGGCAAATGGGAGGTGGCCTTTTAATGGATCGGGGATACCGATGACGCTGGCTTCGCCTATTTCCGGGTGCGAGAGGATTGCCTGTTCGATGGAACCTTTTTTTTTGGGTTAGATTTATCCAAGTACATGTATAGGTGGGTAGATACCTGTGCTGAATCGGTGGGCTGCTACGTTGATGATATCGTCCGACCGCGACATGACGTGGATATACCCGTCTTGATCAATCATGCCGGCATCTCCTGTATCTAACCAGCGACCGTTGAACCGTTTGAGATATCCTTTGTAGAATCTGTCGTCATCGTTGAATAGCCGTGTGAATGCCGTGGGTGCCAGAGGTGTTGCCATTACGATGTTACCCATCGTCCCTTGAGGAACCTCGTTACCTTCATCATCCACAATTCGTACGTCGAAACCTGGCATCGGTAGGCCCGCTGACCCGGGACGAATTGCCAAAGGTGCGATATTATGCTCGTCAGACTGTGGTGGCACTCTTCCCACCGCACTTTGCAGTGCCAGGCCTGAAATAGGAGATCCGGACTCGGACGACCACCAATTGTCGATGACGAGAGCCCCAGGAGCGGCGTGCTTGGTAAGAAGATCTTGATAAGCACGCACGATACTGGGCTCGCTCCGCTCCCCGGCGAGGAATAGAGCCCGGACGTGCCGGAGGTTACGGTCTCCAGCTACCTTTTCAAAGTATCTGTTGTCAGGGTCTTCCTTGCGGATAGCACGAAGCGCCGTAGGTGCAGTAAAGAGGACGTTCGCCTTGTGCTCTGCGACGACCCGCCAGAATGTTCCTGCATCTGGGGTGCCGACTGGCTTCCCTTCGAACAAGATGGTCGTCGCACCGACCAGCAATGGGGCGTATAAGATGTAGGAGTGTCCTACTACCCAGCCAATATCTGAAGCGCAGAACATGACGTCGCCAGGCCCGTGGATATCGAACAAGTATTTTATCGATAGACTAAGCCCGACTGCATGCCCACCTGCTTCTCGAACGACTCCTTTGGGTAGCCCGGTGGTACCTGTTTGGTTAGTGGCAAGAGCGACAAGACCGGGAATGGTGAACATACCACTGGTGTAGATAATGTACAAACCATCAGTGCTTTTCACTGGCACCGGCCCAGCACGAATGCCGCGCATCCGCGCGCTCTTCACAAGCCGGTTCCAGTTACGCTGGCCGTCTAGCTTGTGTGGATTATTCCATCGCAGTTGGTCACGCTGCCAGATGAGGACCTTCGCCGGCTTGAAGCTGCTCGCTTCAATGGCGCCCTCCACCAATGGGCGGTACGAAATGGGACCTTTTGTCCCTTCAATCCCGCATGATGCCGTCAAAATAGCCCGAGGTCGTGCAGCCTCAATGCGCTGCGCCAGTGACTTGGCTGCGAAACCTCCAAAGACAGCCGCATGAATTGCCCCCAGTCGAGCGACAGCTAGGGCACCGATCAATGCTGCCGGTATCATAGGCACTGCCCCGCAGTATAAGCAATCAATTCTCTGGAAAACAAACTGAGAGAATTTAAAAAAAAAAAGAAAAGGTAAGGCACATACTATAAATAATAACCACATCGCCCCTCCGAACTCCCTCTTCCTGCAATACACCAGCCAGAACTTCGACCTCGTCCAATAGCTGCCGGTAAGTATACTTTTCTTTCTTTCCCGTCACCGGAGAGTCCCAGATAATGGCGACGTTATCGCCATTTCCGTTATGCACGTGACGGTCGACACAGTTATAGGTAGTGGAGATTTCACCGTCGGGGAACCAAGCCCAGGACTCGTGGCTGGCACCGCTGGGGACAGTTTTGGTCGAGCGGCTGATTGCACGTGATGGCTTCTTGTGCCAATGGAGCTGCTGTGCATGATGGGACCAGAATGCCTCCGGATCTTGCAGTGAGGCGGCGTGGATGGCTTGTTGGGGGTGTACCATTGTCAGCGGGCTCGACAATAGCCGAGACAAGTCCAGTGTAAACGGGCTATACGTGTATTTAGGTTTTGCGCAACAAGCTTGCGACGTGGAATTAATTACTCGGCACAGCACGAATGGGGCAGAGACATGAAACCCGGGGACCAGGGGCGTAGCCTGTGTGAAGTATGTACTAGTAGGAATAACTCCGCTCCGTACCTAGGTAAGACAGGTGTCAACGGGGCTGGAATGTGGGAGCTAGCGGAGGTCGATATTCCTCCGGAAGGGGGGTTCGGTAAATGACCCTGGTCTTGAGCGGCGGTTTCCTCCGCAGCTATGCACGAATACTGAATCGAGTAAGAAGAGGTGAACAAGGCGAGACAGAGAAACCAACACGAGAAACGACCGCAGTTCAGGTTTATAAGGCCGGATCTAACCGTGGGAATGGAAGCAGGAGAACAGGCCGAGGGTCGGGCGGAGGGAGAACGATGCTAGTGCAATGGGCGCAAGTCCCGGACGAACAGCGAGGAACTGCTGGTGGCAGGAAAGCACAGGGCAGCAACACAGCTTTCCCCGCAGTCTCCCGTGGGGAACGCGGATGGGACAGTGCCACTATGGAGTCATGGTCGGCACGCGGGCTGCGTCTCTCGGATTCCGGACCTTTTTCGATCGATTTCCACATCAATTCATTAATTGGTTGATAGTATTGACTATTATTCGAATTACCGGGATTATGATTACATGCAACTCCATAGGCTGAGATGTACACGAATTGTTATACATTCTAGCTGTATGATCGTATCATTGATGTGCAAGCTTCTATCGGCAATGCTGTACTCATCAATATTTTGGGTGCAAATGCAGGGAAATTCACAACTCAAAGCTCAGCCGTAGGGTATCATATCGCAATGCCTGCTAAACGGTCGACTGTCCTCTTCTCTTGCACTGCTTCGTTCTGTATCCACCACTAGCGTTCCCTCCTCTGACTGCGCCCACCTACCATCGTTCTCGCCGAGAGACGACGGCTCCTTTGATACCCAGAGGTGGGCATAGAGACAGGAAGACAAATAACGCACGGCTATTCGCGGACATAAGGATGTAGTAGCGGAAAGATGAGGAATCAGGGAAAAGGGAAAATGAGAAATGGTACGCCGTAAGAAAAAGTGGAAGAATATCATCCTTGACCCTTAGCCCTTTGAAACACACGGTAAGGATCCCCTCACATGTCCAGACACCTGCGACAGATTCGAATAAAAATGAAAAATGAAAAATGAGAAATCGGCCTCCCGAATAAAATAACCATAACCCTTGCATCATGTATATTCACATATCCACCACGGCAGCCATGGGCTCTCGGCCAAGGATAAATAAAATGAGGAGCGGAAGATGGCGAGCACAAAAAGAGCTTGAGGACCGGCAAGGCTTCTGGCAGCCAATATAGACAAGAGAAGAATATCGTCATGGAGCAAGCTCGCATGGTTTGTCTAAAAAGCGATTTGAATAATAACTGTAGGAAGAAGTTGCGACGAGCGAGCAAAGTCAAGTGGCCGTGCGCCGATGGCAAGAAGTGATAAAATAAGTGGACCGGCGTATTTATGTTGTTCGCATGGCAATTCGAAATACCGATCGGATAATGCGACCATACGAAATAGCTCACAACATTCTACACTTGAGCCCACTGCGGTGTCGAGAACGGTCGGGACGGAATGATTTGGGGTATTCAGGCCCTGAGTCACGCATCTGACCTAGCCCAGTCGTCCGGCGATGATCCTGGGGTCTTTGCTGTTGCATGCGCTGGCTGCGCAGCATTCTGACCACATCATAGAACGCCTTTTCGACGTTGATGCAGTTCTTCGCGGATGCCTCGACAAACTCGCACCCTAAATCTTTGGCGAGCGCTTGGCCTTCCTGGGCCGAGACTGCCCGCTCGACAGCTTTGTCGCTCTTGTTGCCGACTAGCATCACGGGAACTGGGAGAGGCGGGCCTGATGGCGAGCTCATTGGAGAGCCGAGATAGCTGGCACCGGATGGTGAGCCAGAGTTTGCTGATTCCTTGACCATCTTGATCTGATTGTAGAACTTCGTTATTCGGGAAAAGGAGGCACGCGACGTAATGCTGTAAACGAGAACGAACCCCTCGCCGTCCCGGATCCACTGGTCGCGAAGAGCGGTATACTCCTCCTGACCGGCAGTATCGAGAACCTCCAACATGCATGATTGCTGATCGATCACCACCTGCTTGCGGTACGAATCTTCAATGGTCGGGTCGTATGTTTCGACAAAGTGGTTTAAACATAGCTATAAGCAATACACCTGTTCAGCGTCTAGAGCACCACTATGGGCGGAGAGTCAATGGCTAACCTGAATTGTGAGCGCCGTCTTTCCGACACCACCATCCCCCAGCACCACCAACTTATAGAGAGTCATCTTTCCGGCCATGGCGACCATAAGTTGGGCACCTCTCTAAGGCACCTTTTGGAATTGCGAAGTAATAAATGAAGAAAGGAAGACCAAAAAAAGAAAAAGAAAAAGAAAAAGAAAAAACAAGACGAGTGTGGAAGTTAGAGGAGGGCACTAGAGATAAATGAAGATCGAAATTCGAGGGGTGAAGGAGGGAGAAAATTAGAGAGATCTATCAGGACTCCGCGAGGAGCACGGACTCGTGGAAGCGGAGAGGTGCGAAAAGCTGGGCCTGGAAAGGAACGGGCTATTTTGAGTAGTGCGATTAGCCACCGGAGAAATCGACCTGGTTGCTTTAGGCTGCTAGCCCAACCCACATGCCAATGCCGGAAAAGAGACAGGGATAATTTTTTCCAGCCGACTAGAACCACGTACCTCGCAGTTGGGCAACAGGAGATTCACGGACTGTGCTCCTGGGGGGGTTTATTGAAAGAGGAGAGAGTAGCGAGGAGGGGAAACGAGAAGAGGAGAAAGCCGGGCTCTAACTAAGGTTTTGGACTCGAGCAGCTGTCGCAAATAAGCGGCCGCCAACAGCTGCAGAATGGTACAAAATGGGGTCGGATAAAGAAACTCTGTTCCGGATGTGCAAGAGGTTGTAGGAGTCCAAAAAATAAGATGAGAATCCAATCAAGTAAGAAAGCAGCTGGGATAAAGCTTTAGGAATAGAAAAGCCGGAGTCGCAGGCTTCGGGAGAGGCAGGCTTGATCGCGTTGGTTCTGCCACGTGAGGGGAAGCAGAGAATAAAGATGATCAGCTCGACGCTGTTTTCTAATAATCTTGCTAGCGAGTCAAATGGCGGGGATGCGCGCGAGACCAAGGAGGTAAAAAATGCTTGGCCAGCAAGGAGGAGTTGGGTATCTCAGTGCAAAGGCATGGAAAGCCGCTGAAGGGGGAGGTGGAATTGGGTGGTGTGGTGAAAGTGATGGTAAATCGGGTGAGGAGAAAGTGGAGGGGAGAAGAAGGTCGCTTTGGAGGGGCCAGGGAAGAGGACGGAAAGCGAAAGAAAAAGGAAACGACCAGGCCTTTCTGATAGACTTGACACGCCGGAGGAGGGAAGAAGACTAAGAATTGGACGCGATGATCTCAGACTGGATGGATCGGAGGGGAGAGGGAGAAGCTGGAAGTTGAGTTAGACAGACAACCAGGAAAAAGTGGCGTAGTCTCGCGTCTGGGGCTGGATCATGGCAGACAGGCAGACAGTCCGCGACCCACGATAGGAGCCTGCCATCTCCAGGCATTGGCTATTATATTTTGGTTATTATTATATTTATCTATCAATTATTATCCCGCCGCGAGTCTTGCGACCATCACTATCAGTCACGCATACATATCTCTTTCAGCCCGGGCCCTGCGGTTAACAATCCTGATCGTTCCTTGAATCCTTGGCTCTCTCACACAAAACTTCATCACCTGGGGGTTTGAGAGCTGGTTTGAGAGTCAGGAGAGCGACCTGCTCTGGCGCGTTCTGAACCTTCCACCTCAGCCGCTCTCCCACAACAAATCAACAGTCCATATGAAGGGGAGAGTCTCGGGTAGACACGAAACTGTTCCAGAGCGGATCCGAACCAGAGGCTCCGCCGTCGACCAAGACTTTGGGAAATAGTATCCAACCCTGGATGGGTCAGAGACTCTGAGTCCAGTTGGCTCAGTCGGGACGGGAGTTATCCAATTTCAATCCCAAGCCTCGATTTGCCGGCTTGTTTGGTGAACGACCAGAGTGGCACCATAAGAAGGGATCCCACACTACGCAGTCCCTTCCTCCGCTACTCCCAGCTTTGGAACAGACTCGAAGGATGGCCGTTGTCCTTTTGCTGCATACTCATCGACATCAGGTTACACTGGACTCCAACCGGAAGGATATCGAACATTCCGCGGCGTGATAGCGGCAAGGCTAGTACCACCTCCCAGGCTCCTGGGTCTGCCGGAGCCTTTTGCATCATCCCAAGTGTCGTGTTGTAGGATGCCTAGTACGCCCTCAAGGATAAGCATAAGCCATCGTTTCGCGGTATGACGGGACACTATTCCGGTCTCGCGGACTGACGTGACGTTTCATCGCCCCGCCCATGGAAGGAAGGGCAGCTTGATGGAGAAAGCAGCCCTGTCCAGGTCCTTCCTTTTTGCGTGCTCTTGCTTCCTAGGAGGCCGTCTCGGCTTGAAGAGATTTGTAGGCGTATCCAGGACAATCAATTACCAGGCTGGGCTAGATTCAGGATCCGAAGGGTATCTCGGTCCCATGTGGGGTGGCTTGGGAGAAGTTCCACCCTTGGTCGGCCCCCTATTGGCACCGTCTCCAATTTCTCTTGGCATTTCCATTGGAATCGGCCTGCCTCCAGCGAAGTGAGCTTCTAACCCCGTAAATCATTATTTGCGATCTTCTGCCCCCAAAGCGGAGGGTAGTACGAATATCCATGAGGGAAGAAACATCATGTGTCAGACCTGCTCTCTCTCCAGCCGCAATGGGCCAGTCGGTGCTGCTCACACTTAGGCCGGTGCAATGAACGTCTAGATGGCCGGCCCGGTCCAGGGCGGGAGAACGTTCCATCAGCTAGCAGGGATTGACCGACGCCGCTTCTTTCCTCGTGGAACAGGCACAGGACGGGATATCCGATAGAGGAGGGAGCCAAAGTTGTGCTCAGTGCTCAGCTCGCTTGCTAACTGCTGAGCCCTGGAGCGGGACACAGGATTTAGCCTCTAGATCGCTATGCTGAAAGGGGAAACCGAATCCTAAGGTCCCAGGCCTGGAACTGTGCGTTCCCGAACCCAGTAACGACAGTTCTTTTAATTTTGTCTGCCCAACGTAGTGGGTATTATTGTTTCGTTGCAGAATTGCTTCAAGTCGGATGAGCCCGTGAAGAGAATGATGAAACCGAATGCCCCTCCCACTGCAGATTCAGAATTGCCCGAATCCGGGACTAGTTGTTGCCCGTCCCGTCTTCTCTCCCACGTGGGTGGGTGAAGAAGCGTATACCGACGTTGAACGGTTTGCCCAACAAAAACACACGGACTGTATTCGAGTCCTAGGGGTTACGATATTTGCGACGAGGAGACGGCAGTTTAGTGATACCCGAGACCACACCGAAGGACTTGCGTCTTTTATTATTATACGTACATTATTGGTAGTATTCCCTGTCAAAATTTCGCTACTAATACCCCATTATAATTCCCCTGACTCGGGCATACCCCATAAAAAAAAAACAAGGGGCTTGATACTTGTCGGCATTCCTGTCAAACGCGTCAATGTCTTTGAAATGGCCAAAAACAACTTGTTGAAAAAGAAAGGGAATGGAAACCGCCTTGACCAGCTCTTGAGTGTGTAATGAATTGTGACGGGAGTATGGACTGCTGTAGGAACACTAGTTTGCATGAACATGCATGCATGGAGCATAAATTCAAGAACTGCTGCATGATCTGGCACCAGTGCTGCAGCGCATGCGCTCTAATCACACCAGCAGCTTTCCCCAGTCCAGACCAAAGGCCGCGGCAGCCGAGCATCAATAATCAATTGGTGTCTTCAGGGGCTCAGCCGCTCGCTCGTGTCGCGCCCACTGCCCACTGTCAAGTTTCATTTGAGCGTCGGATCGATGGACCTGCGGCCTGTCATTTCGTGAGCATTGAACCTTTTGAGGCCCATTGCAAAGGGCCCACTATTTAAAATTGAGTCTGAAAGCTGATCAGGAAAGTGAGAATCAGATCATGGGCTTCTAATCTGATTGACCAAAATTTTGCAGTTGAGCTACTATTTCCCGCGCATTCTTTGGTGGGAGGCCTGCGTCGTCGCAAGCAAACATTGACTGGCCGCTAGAAGGCGTCTTCAAACCTGGTTTGGTGGCTTTTGTTTTGAGGTTCCGTGATAGCCGATTTGAAAGGATTCCGGACACTGCCCGAGGTTGGCTTGGTTTTAGGTTAGCTCCGCACAGCGAGTGAAGGCCACTGATTCTCAGATACGGCCGTTTTGTATGGTTGATACGAAATTAAGAGAGGAATGTAGCATCGAACATAACGGTTTTCGGCTACTATTTCCAAGGAGGCAGTCTTGGGCCTTGTTCGGTTGGACCGCTTGGGAACCGGTGATTGAGGGCGCGGGTGCCCCGCCGCCCCGCACAAGCTTGGGCTGGCTGATGGGATGACATGAACCTTTTCTTCGGAGGGGAACCGACAACATTCTCTACATTGGGATTAACCCTCCTCTGTGATTTCGCTGACCAGTACTTCTGGTGTCAGCTTCAATAACCGGGTGCCCTTGTGATCCAAGTACTCGGGGCCGGGACACTCTATTTAACGATGGTTTCCTCCAATTATGCAAACACCGACGATCTGCACGAGGTTTCCGTACTTTTGGGCTGCCATAGAAAATGCCCCCCTTATTACTGTCACAAGGATTGCCTGGGTCCTTGGATGGACAGAGTATGGTAAGTGGGTGTTGAATTGTCAAGCTAAACGCCGATGGAACACGCTAGCACTCCGCAGAAGTACGGTGTACTTCAAAGCTGTCGGCAAATTATTGAGGTAACTCGAACATACACCGAATAATAATATCAACATGACTAAAGAAATGGCGGCCTACTTCTCCTGAGGCAGAATATCCGGCTTCGGTCCCGCTGGAATAACGAGCTGGGAACTTTCGATGCCTTGCTTCTTCCCAAGTGATATCAAATAACCGAATTTGTACTGTCGAGCGCAAGCTGTATCAGTCATCACACCCCTGTGTCGGAATGGTCGTGTGCAACTTACAAGGTCGAAGAACGTCGTCTTCTTGAACGCTCCCCCGTTCGTCTTCTCCGATTCATCATAGTACAGCCTTCGATACCACCGATCAATAAGCGGATAATCATACCGGATCATCTTCAAGTTGCATTTGAAGATCAGATAATACGCCACGTCGAACCGCGCAATTGTTGTATACAGCCTGACATCTGCTTCGGTGATATGTTCCCCAAAGAGATACGGCTGGTGTCCTGGCTGCGCTAGATGCTCCTCCACACGATCCAATGCCTCAAACAGCGGGCTTAAGTTCGACTCGTATGCTTCCTGCGTCGCCGCAAAGCCAGTCTTATACACCCCGTTATTTATGCGATCATACACCCACTCATTCATTGCATCAATCTCCTTTCTCAGATGCTCGGGGTACAGCCCGCCGCCAACCTTGCCTACTTCGCGCCTTTCCTCCGGGAGTAAATCATCGAACTCCGTGTAAAACATTCGAATGATCTCGCTGCTCTCGTTATTCACGATCGTTTGCCGCTTCTTATCCCACAATACCGGGATCGTGTACCGACCCGAGTATCCCGGATCTGCCTTGAAATACAGCTGGTTCATCTTCGTAAACCCATACAGCGGGTCCTTCTCTGCAGAGCCGTTCCGCCCGGAGAAGATCCAGCCGTCTGGACCGAGTTCAAAATCGCAAAGGACGAGCTGGATGATGTCTTCCAGGCCCTTGAGGGAGCGGACAATATTAGTCCTATGCGCCCACGGGCATCCATAGTTAAGGTAAAGCACGTAGCGGTCTTTTTCCGCTGGGAATTCGGCACCTGGTGAACGCGACACCCAGGATCGGAAGACGGAGTCTTTACGGCGAAAGTGACCGTCGCTGTCGGCATGTTTATAGATCGTGCTATCCTAGTGAATATTGGTAACTGTAAGTTGATAGAGCAGGCCTAGGGATGGTATCTTACTGTTTCACCTGTCATCGTGGTGTTTGGTATATCAACTTCTATACTCAATACTTTGAAAAGACACTTGGCGCCTTCGTGGTCCTGTTCCTCTTATACAACTGGCACACCCAATTATTAATAGCCAGATTCCGATAGTTACTTTTTGGTCTCCTAAGTCGTGATTATGAGATGCCGTTCTAGGATTTATAATCAAGAGTCAGATTGTCTGGATGGCGTGACGTCACGGGACACTATCATCAAAGCGCTCCTGGTGATACGGAAAGCTTCCGCTACAATGGATATGTGTTGGATGAAAATAGAAAGTTATATATATTCGTCAACTACAACTTTCTACTGGCCGTCTGCCGAGATACCTAGCTGTCTCGCAACCTCTATAAACCCATCAGAGCTCGTCTCTATCTCTACCGCTAAATCCACGTATCCCGCATCGATGGCCTGCTGGAGATCACCAAACTCCTCTCCAACACGCTCAACGTAGATGGTGCCAAACCCGCATCCCTTGGCTGCCTTTAGATCTTTCAAGTGTGCCGCGACAAGCGCACACTGATCCGGCTTGAAACCTAGCTTCTCTGCAGCTCCAAGGTACACACGAGGCGATGGCTTGTAGGCACCAAAGTGCTCCGCGCTGATAATATCCGTGAAGGGTAGCGGCCCATACTGCACGAGGTCCTCTAGCAGTGATACGTTACCATTAGACAGTGTACTCGTGCGGAACTTGCTATTCAGTAGTTTCAACCCCTGCACGGTGTCATCCCACGGGTCTAGGCGGTGCCAGCATTGGACGAGCTCCTTCAGCTCGCTCTCTGTGAATAAATCTTCTAGCTGGCGTGTCCGTAGAATTTCAAGTAGAGCGTTGTAATGATGCTGGTCAATAGAAACAAACCCGTTGGAAGGATCGAATGTCGCTGTGAAACGGCTATATGATTTGCGCCAGTCCTCGGCCATGCTGTGCCAGTTGTCGTCTGTCATTGCCGATGCCTGTGCGCGGACGCCTGGGTCAAGGGACTCTCGGTTGTTGCGGATTGCACGTTCGCTGGCTTCTTGTAGAGCCTTTGTGACGCATGTTCGCCAGCGGACAGTGGTGCCGAATGTGTCGAAGAAGAGCACCTTAGTTTGCGGGCTGATGGGCATGTTGGTGTTATGCCTTTTTCTTTGTTTTTCCACAAGTAGATGGGCTGGCGAGGTAATCCCTTGGATCGCCTTGCGCGGTGCTAATTTGTGTCTCTCAACCTAGGCGACTTGGGGAGTTATGTGGAGAGTTCTTCTTATTCAAGAACAAGCGGATAGTTATTGGGTTGTCATCCTCGGAGGCTTAGTCATTTGCGGGGTTCCGAGGTTGAGATAGCTATCCATAATATGGTGAGGTTCATTATTAGGTATTGTTTTGCGAGGGGACGATTGCTGTCAATGAAATGAATACAACACTGGGTGCTAAGACTGGTGATCACGGATTGATACCGATACGCCTTCAACAACCCTCATCCGAATGAGCCTGCAAAACAAGTAGCTGCTTTTCCGAGCAAGCACACCTGTGCTGCGCAGGGGCTCCCATCACACTATCACCTCGCGGAGTGTTTCAGATTGAGAGCTCCATCTGCGGTTTGATGTCTTCCTGCAAGCCCTGCGTTAGCTGATAGGGGGTCAACCAGTCAAGGTTTGTTAGTCGCCTGTGGTGTCTTTTCATAATGATGACAGCTGCAGCCGACCCGGTTGGGCCGATGATCCCAACGGCGCCTGGAGGCCGATTTCGAATCCCTGTCAGCAAAGCAGCCAATGCTGCCTTCGGCCCCCCGGCTCTTGAATGTCGAGGAAATTGAATGATACCTGGACACGACTCCGATCGTGAATGTAAACTAGCCATGCGTTTACAACGAATTGTCTGGACTTGAAACCCCAGGCAGAACTCAAACTCTTCCGTGCCGCGTGGGCTCCGGGCTGGACGGCGCCGGTCTCGCCTCGGATGGACTCTCTTTGTGTCCTCGTTCGCTCCAACTTTAACTCGGTTAGCGCATATCCATCTGCACGAAAACCCGACCAAACCAACAACAAGCCAGCAATCCAATAATGAAAATCAGCATCTTCCTAGCAATATGATCAAGAACAAAGTGAAACAGAGGTGGCAGGCTTGTTTCTTCCAGGGTCATGCGTCAAAGCCGCTGCCCGACTTGCAGCTGGCCAGCTGGAAATTACAAGGCCACATGCAAGAGACAATCATTCATCTTTCCGACGAAGTCACTCCCCAAGCGGCATTAATTGCCGCGATATACTAAGAGGTGTGCCTTCATGTGACGAAAGGATCTTTACAGAGTGATAATTAATCTATCCGTACGCCTAATAATGAACTAACTCATTCGTAGAGTGTCGGCTCTCCGGGAGCGCATCGACTCCATTCTCATTTGCGAGGCGATCGTTGAGTGGCGGTCCCGCGCTGGCGGACCGTGGAAATATCAGTGGAGAGCTCTATAAGCTGTGGCGGATCCAGGGATTATTCCACCTTAGGAACAAAGAAACCAAGGGAAGAGATCGGGCAAAAGGAGTAAAAGGAAAACAATGGGCAAGGAGAGAGGACATTATTATCTTCATGGGCAATATACTGTGCTGGCAGAGGGCCAATTATTGGGAAGCTGCAGTTGACTTGTTTTTCTAGACAGCATCCCAGGTGAAACAGGACAACAGGTCAATTGGCCAACAAACAGCGAGACCAAGATCCCTGTGGTTCTTTGAGCTCAAGTCAAGCCCGAACAAAGAACGACAGAGTCCTTAAATCAAAGTCTTGAGGTTTGATCGATGGGCTCTCCCAAAGTCTCAAGTGAAACACGGACCATGGGCTCTCTGGGAAATTGCCTAGTGACGATCGCGTCAAAGCAATTTGTTCCTCCACGTCCTTTCCGCATCTGTCGTACGACCGCGTCGCTGTCTCGGAATAATCTCCAGTCAAGCGCGACGTTGGTTGAGACTCCGTGGCCGAGGCATTGATCCTCACCCTCGTTGTCCAAGAGAGATTTCTACCCTCGAAGAACGCCAATGATCGCAAACACTGAATCTGCAGATTTCGAGGAAATTTATCGGACTGAACTTCGATCCTCAGCAGGTTTCGAGTTTCCGAAGATAGCCAGTGGAGTCGACGCTTGGCCTGGTTGATGTGAACTTCCTTCACGTACTAAATCCGTACTTTGAAGAGCTGTTGGCGATGCTTGTTAGAATTGTCGCGCCGTTTCCCATATAATGAGCTATTATTATTTATAGTCGATTCCGCGGCGGTAATTGGCCAGCCTCTTTTCTTAGCCCGCGGGCCTTTTCTCCTTTTCGCTTTCTTCGCGATGGCTTCAGAAGTTCAGATCCGTTCTTGTTTTCCCCTCCCCCTTTTTGTTCGGGTTGATTGGCCCTGGATCTCCCCATGCACAACGACTTTCGAGTTTCGACTCCTTCGCATTCTGTGACCATGGCCAATAGTGCTCCTGAATCTGGTAGATCACTTTGTCAGCCTTCCTCAATTTGCCATCTGCGCGACGGGCTGGAGACCATGCAGCTCGAGTGGGGAAATGAGTGGCTCCTTGCTAGTCCCGTACGTGGACTTCGCCTTTCTCCATCCCCTAACGAACACCCCTGGACGAAGCTAGCAAGTAACGAGCTCCCCGAGAATCTTAGCATGGCCATGCCTGGCCCATCATGTCATCTGCTCGCCCATCGCCGCAAGGCTCAGTTGGTCCTTGACACGAACCAACAACGGGCGACTCCGTACTTGGTGCATCTTACTCTCCCCCCTCTTTCCTCGGATCTTGCTGTGAAAGGCGAGGGATTGGACGATAGACAAAGTGAGGGTCTCCGGGCGGCGCAGATACCGTCCACTCGCTGATTGTCCTCGTGGACATTCATTTATTTCTTTTATCCTAATTTCTATGCTCTTTGTCTCCCCGGCCGTTCTCAGGACTTCTTCCTCCGTGGCCCGACTTTTGCGATTCAGAACCCCCCGCTAAGAAGAACAACGGGGCAGCTCAAATTCCCACTCTTGAAGCTTTGGGGGACTGGGAACTAGGCATTGATCTGTGCACAGTTCTAACTGCAGGTACCAACCCTGAATGCCCTTGTGACTTTGCAGCCGCGTTTCAACTGAAACTCAATCGTCTAATGTATGTCTCAGAATCGAAGCAGCAACAAAGCCCTGATTTATACATACTTGTTGCTGCTGGTCAGCTTCTCCGTTCGGTTCGCCACTGTTTACTCGAGTTTTCTATTCGAATATTTGCGAGACGAAGCATATGCCGAGTCAATGGAAGCGTCATAATACGACAGTTTACTCGAGCGTTTACATGAGAACCTACCACTGCGGGCCTTGACCCAGGTGTTTTATACCTCTAATGGTATATTTGCAGGCATTATGGCAATGCAAGCTATATACCAAAGCCCGCCAGCTGCGAGTGCATTCCCGACACCTTCCACAACCCCGAAGCGACCTCCTTCCACGCATGCACGAGGAGATTTCTCACCCGGTCATACATCATCGCCCGTCTCTCTCCCAAACCATATCTCATCCCCCGATGGACGCAGCGATTTCGACGATGTGGTAGACGAAGACGTCATATCCCCGCTGGATCCGCGAAGGTTTACACCAACATTGCACGCCTCTCTTGTCTCCGAGATTCTTGCCTTACGGCGAGATGTAGAGAGCAAGACGAAAGCTATCGATGTCTTGGAGAACACTTTGGAGGAGTCGCGAACAGAGAATGAGGAACTAAGCGAACGTTTGACCAAGCACTCGAAAGAGTCGCGATCACTAAAACATCAATTACAACTGTTGGAAGGTGGTAGCTCGTCAGCGCTCACAGAGCTAGCCAAAGAGAGAGATAGCGCGCTAGATGGCATATCGGAAGTTCGCAGGAAGCTCGAGCAGGCGCAAAAGAAGGCTAGGAACCGAGAGGAAGAATTGGAAAGAAGTACAAAATTATGGACTCGTGATAAGGATGTCTGGGATGGTGAACGTAGGAATCTGGAGCGAAAGATTCATGTGGTTGAGGGCCGCCTTAAAGTTGTTTTAAATGAGGTTGCCGCTGCCCAAGCTTCCGGCACCAGGGAGCCTACGTCAAACGACGGACAGGATGTGATGAAAGAAGCATCTACTGGGAAGGACAGTGACTCGGTAAGCAGATACTCGAGCAGTCCAGGACGACGCAGGACCAGCGTCACAAGCCTGAGCAGTGCCGGTAGCGACGGGGATGAGTTCCACTATGGCCGTTATTCGGTTATGAGCGCTGCCAATATGCTAGGATCCCAGGCGAATCTTGCAGACGAGCTTGCATTCGATGAGAACGATGAGTTCGACCTTGATGACGAATCGAACCCTCAGTCTCCTGAGGCTCTTCCCGAGGAGCGTCCTGCTTCCGTTCATTCTCAAATGTCTCACACAATGGGCATGGATGCCAAAGCAAGAAAGATACTCGGTCTCTCACTCAACGAGAGTGTGGATGGCTATGCGGTGAAAACAGAGGGGCCTCCAGAGCTCAAGGAATCGCCTACTGTTCAAACACCACCCGTTAAATATCAAGATTCCGGTGTCCAGTACTCTCCGCCTCCATCGCCTGCTCTCTCTCCAACGCGCAATGAGCCGGTTGAAGATAGTATGGAAGATGTGAATGGCATGAAGCTATCATTATACCAGACAAAGGACAGCAGCACGTCAACCTTACCCATTGATATGGTGTCAACTTCATCCCAGACAGTCGACGATCTTCCTACCCCGCCATGGACACCGAGAGTCGAAGCACCATCAGATGTTGAACAAATCACCATGGTTTCGGCTTCTGTGCAAACGGAGACCCGAACAGAACCCTACGATGAGCCAGAGCCTGCCGAGCCCCCCACAAAACCAACACATATGGAGGTTCCAATGATTGCAATTCATCCTCCTGTATCTGAGCCTCCTTCTCCCCGAGGGAGTGTGGTTCTGCCGCCTCAAACCAAGAGTGTTTCATGTCAGGCCAGCTTTGAACCAACCAGGGAAACCCGAACGACTGGTATCCAGACTGAGCCCATCCGTATTGATCAACGACCCGTTAAACTCCCAGCGAGCCTGCTACCGTCTGCCATTCAGGATCTTCCTCTTAGCACAGCTACACAAGAGCACCATATTCAGCCATACCACGCCCCGCCTCCCAGGGCAGTCAAGTGCGAGAGAAAACAGCCACCTGTGGTTGAAATACCAACCGATACGACAGCACCAGATAAACCTAAACATATTCAAGCTTATCCAGGCAATAACGACAACGGGCCGTTATCAGGCGACTCGAAGCCTAACCTAAGGCGGCCTTTGCGGTCAAGCAGTCTTTTTGCTGGTTTCGAACAGACCAGCGACGATGAGTCGCCCGAGGCCGCTAGAGATGTGTTCACCGATGATGAACTGCTTAATCGACCATTCGCATCATACAAGGTGCGGAAGGGAAAGCTTGTTTCTGCCCACGAGCGCCGCCGCAGTTTGGAGGATGCCATGCTGCCGGATCTTACTGAGGATCTCGACTCCGAGTCCCACTTTGAGGGAGGAGCCGAAAATCTATTTCCCAGCCCGCCAGGGTCCTCTTGGTCACGTTCTGGAGCTCTAGGCCTCCGGCAGCAAGATATGCGTAAAGCGGCAATGATCTCCAGCGGAGCAGCGACGCATCAGAGGATACGGATGCGCAGCCCAAGCGAACCGAGCATCGACAGTGGTAGTGGCAGCAATTCTTCGAGCGTCGCACCTCCATTCCCAGTTCCTATCCGACTCAGTTCCAGGAAGTTTCCACAAACCGGAAGCGACGGGTGGCAGAGCCCGACGTCGTCGCGCAATTTCACCGACCGCCCAAAGCCAGGCATTGTTCGTCGTCCCACCCTACGGCGTGTCCGCTCAGCGGCGACAATGTCTCAGTCAGACCAAACAGACCGGCCAACCACCCGATCGTCCCCCGCCATGTCAATTTCTTCGTATGCGGCGGATAGTCCTCAGCACCCTCCCCTACCATTCGACGATATTACGATGCCACAGCATCAACAAAGCTCTCACGGGCGACAGGTTCGTCGACCAAGTGCATCACAGCATCGTGCACATGAGCGGCAAGAGTCAACATCAACGTCGGTTCAGCCAACCAGTGTGGTAGATGCCATCGCACAAACCATGGTGGGAGAATGGATGTGGAAGTACATCCGCCGAAGAAGATCGTTTGGTGGAGACAGGGACAACTGGGAAGGCCGTAATGCCGAAGAGGTATCTGCCAGCATCACCAATAGCGGAGTGAGGCATAAGCGATGGGTTTGGGTGGCGCCGTACGAACGAGCCATCATGTGGAGCAGCAAGCAACCGACCACTGGGCCTGCGCTACTTGGCAAGAGTGGTAGGAAATGTAAGTATCAGATGCCTGTGCGGGATTGGCCAATTACTGATTTGAGTAGTGGTTATTCAATCCGTTCTCGATGTTAAAGACGACAACCCATTACCCAAGGGGTTCAGCGGGCCGGCACAGTTTAATCGCTCCATCCTGATCCTAACCCCTCAACGAGCACTGAAGTTCACAGCCACCAGCATCGAACGTCACTACGTTTGGCTGACAGCTTTATCGTTCCTGAGCCACTCGGCAATGGGCGTTCAAGACCTCGCCGCACTACCACCAGCACCTCAGGAAGAGTACCCCAACCCAACACCTACAGCAGCTCTCCGCCGTAACCCAATTCGCGACTCCATTCGAATTGCCAAGGGTCGCCCGCGACCCTTCCCCAAGGGCAAGAAACCGTCTTTTACCAATAACCACCCAGAGCCTGTACCCGAGCTTCCCGACAATCTTGATGTTGGAGTGCGGGCCTCCGAAGATGCAGCTGATCCGCCGACGGTGCCGCGGTTCTCAAACCATTCGCGCAAACGCAGCAACACGGCGCCGAGGGTGCCGATCCCGAATATCCGCAGTTTTTCTAGCCAGAATACGATGCCATCAATGCGAAGCTCTCCTGATGCGACGGGGCCGCCGTCTTCAAACTCATATGGACTGAACAGCGTGCGGAGCAGCTTTAGCCATCGCACTTCGGAGACGAGTAGTGTCCGGACGGGAAACTTCTTCGACGCGATCGGCACGGTACGCATGGAGGCTTTTATCGACCAGACGGAGTCGAACCGCTACCGGCCTGGGCCCGCGCGGCGCGATACGCGCAAAGCCTCAACTCCTTGGAGTATGAGCCAGGGAATGGGATACCCGGAATTGGACTCTCCTGAGTATCGCCATGATGATCCATTCCGAGGATTCTAGACCAGGCTTCCACTCCCGTGTTCTATATTCATTGTATTTGATAATTATTTGATACCGGAGTTGTGTTTACATTGATACCATCTAAGCGAATTTGTTCGGGACTGTATATAGAATCCAAAATATCTATATAGATACAGATATAAAGTTTACTTCCAGTAATAAGTTTGGACTGAGCTTAAACACAATAACCACGGCTCTACCACACAGCAGGGCATGGCATGCGAGCCCTCCTTCTCTAGTATGGCGAAAAAACGACTCGACAATGGTATAATGTAACAAATCCCTCTCCCCAACTCTTTATCACCAAGCCACGATATGTATTTCGGAAAACGTAAAAAGAGCCTCACAGCTTCGCTCCCTCCTTAACATCTCCAACCTTCAGCTTCGGCGAATACTTCTTCAAAACGCCTTCATTGTGGTACTACGAGCAAGTAAGACCCAAGTCAGCGCCATGTTCATCTCACGTGTGCGCCCCGGAGAACATGTCGGCTATTGAAAAAAAAAAAAAAAAAAAAACTGAAGGGATGGGAAGGAAGGGAGAGAGCGGAGTGGACAAAACTTACCTTCCAGAACTGCTTTGAAGCGTCCTTTCCTGCAACGCGCTTCAGAATCTTTGCTCCTCCGGGGTGCTCATCGATGAAGTTTGTGACATCGTAGACAGCGCTGTCCACGATGATGTAGAGACCCTTGTCGGGAGAGTTGTGGGATGCGACGTCGGCGGGAGTGAATGACTTGCTCATTTTGGGTCGTTATTATTTGAAGTCGGTAGATGAAGGCTTGATTTGATGTATGTGGATGGATGAAAAGGCTGCGTTGTTGAGATGTCTGTTGTATTTAGCTGGGGCTCGGCCGAGATGATGGGGTGCGGGATGGCAGACTGGAGTAGCTGTACCTCGGCTTTGTGATTCCGGAGCCGCGGCCGATGACATTTAAGGGGATTGTGATTGGATCATGAGACCGCCTTCCAAAGAACGGAATATTTTTCTATAGAACGGAATTGGGTCCTAGGTAGTTATGCACGATGCATGTTTTGAATATGGTACAATATCTAGAACTTGGAATTAATTAATCACGACTCTTTTCCCCTGCCGCCCCCTGTCCCTTCGGTTTTCGCTCGGTGCCCAGCGTCTCAAGGTCCTTTTTCTTGTAGTAATGCGGTGCGACTTCCACCAGCCATTCCGCTTGGAGGGGCATATTACTACGCATATACTCCTTGCTCGTGAGAACCAACTCAAAGTAGATCACCCATCGCGGGTTCACCTCGAACAGCGTGCTAGACGGATGCAAGTATACCGTTTGTCCTGTTTTGATGGTACGGTAGCTGTCACCACCGCGCTGGAGGCGAGCTGCGTTCGGGAAGAAACCGGCAGTGATAGACTTTTGAATGGGAATGAGGTTGTTTGAGCCACAGGAGCTGACGGTTACCTCGACGCGGTCGCAGAGCTTCGCGAGCTGATCACGCACGTCACGCGCTCGAGTAAGACTGCGTTGTTGTAGGAAGTTTTCTTTTGCCCAGACGTAGCTGAAGTCAGAGTCGACCCACTGATTCCAGATGTTGAGGAGGGTTAGGTGGTCGCCGCCGTCTTTGACTGTGAATCGATTCCGTGCACTGTCTGCGTGGATCTTCTTGTCCTTCGGCCGGAAGAAAAGCGCACTGGCTTCGCCCAGCATCGAGACAATCGAGAGGACCTCTTCCACGCAGCCTTGACTGTCGGCAGCCAGGATTGCCTTGGCGAGCATCGGGTCTGTTGGGAATTCAGCCATTTGTCGCCCAATCTTGGTTAGCTCTCCTCGGTCGTTCAGTGCTCCTAACGCATAAAGTTGTTCCAATGCCCGAATGATCGTCTCCGCCGGCGGCGGATCCATAAAATCGAACTCAAGAAGTTGGTCAATTCCAAGCGACTTCAGCATCAAAATCACGCTGTTTAGGTTGGTCCGTTGAATTTCAGGTGTCGTACTCTCCTCTAGCTCGTTGTAGTATGCCCACTTGGTATACAAGCGGAAACATTTTCCTGGACCGACTCGACCTGCTCGACCCGCTCGTTGGTTTGCTGATGCTCGCGAGCAGGGCGTGACCACGAGACTCTCCATGCCGGTTCGGGGGTTAAAGACATTCTCCTTAACAAAGCCAGGGTCGATCACGTAAACAATCCCGTCAATTGTTAAGCTTGTCTCCGCAATATTGGTAGCGAGCACGACCTTGCGGGCTTTGGGCGGCGTTAGTTCGAAGATCTTAGCTTGCATATCGGACGGTAAATTAGCATAAATTGGACATATAATCATTTCTGGTATTTTGTTTCCGAGCTTTCTGGCTGTTTCCTGTAAACTTTGCTCCGCTGCCTCAATTTCTTCCTGACCGGTGAAAAAGACAAGAACATCTCCCGGGCCTTGGGAAACGTGAATTTGGAAAACTGTCGTGATAGCAGCAGCAAGATAGTTTGCCTCTGGCTGCTGCGTGTAGTGGATGTCGACATTGTACATACGCCCAGGGATATTGAAGATAGGGGCATTATCGAAATAGCTTTGGAACTTTTGCGCATCCATGGTTGCAGAAGAGATCAGCAACTTTAAATCTGGCCGAGCTTTGGCAATATCTTTTAGAAGACCGCAAGCAATATCTGTTGGCACAGTACGTTCGTGCGCCTCATCGATCATTAGGGCTGAATACTGCCCTAGATCCGGCTCCGTAAGGAGCTCGCGCAGCAGCATGCCATCCGTCATATATTTGAGTACCGTTTTGTCACTCGTGTTGTCCTCGAATCGAATAGAATAACCGACTTCATTGCCTACCTTCACGCCCATCTCTTCTGCAACGCGTGATGCCACGCTCATAGCTGCAACTCGTCGCGGTTGCGTGCAGCCAACCTTCATTCCGTTCTTGGTGTACCCTGCCTCATGGAGATATTGCGGAAGCTGGGTAGTCTTTCCGGATCCAGTTTCTCCCACAATGATCAGTACCTGATGATCTTCAACTGCTTGAATGATTTGGTCTCGGAATTGATATATAGGAAGCTTTTTCCGGGTGTCCTCGATGCTTTGGGCTTTCTGCTCGGCCTCGTCAAGTTTCTCTTGAAGCATGCGCTGCTCCTGGGTCATAGTCTTGCGTGTGCCCTTCATCTGGGCGTCCATGGTGAAATTGATCTTTTGGGTATCATCAAAAACATATTCATAATCTCCTTCGTCCATGAACTCTGCCCGATTGATCTGGGCCTTGGCCTTGGCTGTCTGCTCCAGCTCCCATTCCTCATGCTCTGTAACGAATTTCTCTTGGCCAAGTTCATCGCGATCCACGTAGCGCTTGTAAAGGGCGTCCTCCTTCTTCTTCCGGTCAATTTTCCCCTTCTCCGTTATATAGTCTTCTGGCATCATATACCCGTCGCGATGGTCATCGATCCGTAGCCGCTCCTCTGCGATTCGCAACACCTCGCGATTGCGCGCAAACTCCTCCTTCTCTCTCCGCGTCAGATCCGGGTTTTCACGCAATTCCTGCGCCTCTTCCGCAACTTGTCTCCTCAGCAGAGCGAGGCGTTCCGTTTCTCGCTTTTTGAGATACTCCTGTCGCGACCGCAGCCTCAGGTCTGGCATAGCAGCCGCCCTAGCTTTAGAATCATCTGCCAACGCCCGTCGTTTTGCAGCCTCACTATCCTTTGTCCGATCCTCAACGATTTTCTTCGATCGCTTATCATCTTTGCTCGCCAGCCGTGTCGCGAGGGCATCACGCTCTTCAAGATCTCGTTTCCGGTCCCGCTCTGCGCGCTCATCCGGGTCCAAATCAGCCGAATCCTCCCTCGACCGTGGTGACGCAGGCTCATCGTCTAACTTCGTCCTCTTGGTTGGTGATTCCTCAAACTCCTCGCCGGCATCTTGTATTTCATCCTCCTCGAAAACTTCCTCATCTCCCCATCGGTCTTCGAAATCATCAACATCACGCCGCCTCAACTTCTTCGACCGATGCCGATCCCGACTATGTTCGCGCTCTCTCTTCCGGCTTTCATCCTTCCCCAAGCGACCGCTCCGGCTCTTATTGTCCCTATCCTCATCTTGATATTTGTCGCGCTTCTTCCTCTCCCTGTCTTTCCTCTCAGCTTCAACATTCCTTGGCCCCAAAGAACTCCCACTCCCGCTTGCACCCTCATCATCAATCTCATCCATATCCAAAAGGCGATATTTCTTCTTTTCTTTTCCCGCCGCGCTAGCTTTCGCATCCCGACCCCCGCCGCTGGTCCCAGCGCTGGTAGTTGTGCTAGCTGTAGACTTCCCAACCCGCTTGTAAAGTTCGGAGCAAAATGCGCTGACCTCGCCCGCATCACTATCTAAGAATGGCGCAATCTTATCCTGGAGCGAGGAGGATGATTTCGCGGATGTCGCGGTGGCGAGAAAGAAGTCGACGACGGTAGGGTCCGACGCGTTCGTTAGGCGGAGCAACGAGTCCGAAACAAAGGTTCGGTTGTCCATATTGTGGTATTTTTAACGAATACGGTGATTATGCAGACAAGGTTTGAGGTAGAAGAAGTCTTCAGGCAGCGGTGATTCTTTGCGGACTTCGTGATGACTTTCAGTGGTGACCAGGCATCGTTGCCCAGGATCAGATAATGCTTTTGGATGGCCTGTCATGCAGTAAACAGGCTTTGAATAGAAAATGACCATTCAATCCGAGCGGAAAGAAGAACTGATCGTCGCTCTGATAATAAGAAGTTGAAACCCAGTCGGAAAACAACTCGCCGCCTTCGAAGCCGATGCCAAGAAAAGCTCTGTTACCTACCTTGGGAGTGGTGGGAGAACCTCTGCCAAGGGCCAGGCACTCTCACTGCTTCGACAATGATATACGGAGTGGTCTTTGTCTTGCACAGAACCATTTTGTATGTGAAATAGAGCAAGGTAGCGAGTCTGCCAAGCATCTCCGATACTTTCGAAGAAAAAACATTCAATGATGGACCGAGTCTATGGAGATCTCCCCGTTGCTCGATCCCCAAGACCATAACAACAACAATATGGACCCTTCAGAAAAGGTCATATCCGCACTAAAGGACAGGAATATATACCCCAAACGTGAGGAGATTGCAGCAGCTTTTCATGATACCGCCAGCAATGTCGAAAATACCGAATGGGTCCAAGAACATCTAACTCCGGACGCGCTCCTATCGCAGGAGGAATTGAAGCTGTATGTTGTCTTTACCTGGCACACTTACGCCATACCTAATGATATTCAAATAGCTAATAATTATGACTTCTTATAGATATTCGAAGCTCGAAGATTCGGGAACTCTACGCACGCTTCTCGCGGACGCGAACTTCGATTCCACGCGACCTGTCCTCGATGGAGACTTTCAAAGGGCAATCGAAGCGCTGAGCACATCCACGGCAGGAATACAGAAGCAGACTGAGATCCTCACGTCTCAGTACGATGTCCTGAGTCGACAGCATAAGCGAGACGACGATCAGGAATCCAGACAAACTAGGGAGGTGGAAAGGTTGCGACGGAAACATGACGCAGAAAGACAAAATACAGTTGTAGCGGTAATTGTTTGTCCTTATAATTGACATCATGAGCCATCGCCAAGCTAAGAAACCTTTCCAGTTGAGTGAGTTGGCGCATGAATTCGACGCAACCCTGAAGAATGAGGCGGAGAAGTCGACAATGGATGGGAAAAAGATACTCTCCGCCTTGACGACGCAGTTGAAAAAGAACGACAAGCTACTGTCCGACCTTGAGACACTTGCAGCTGGGGTACAGTCTTCTGATGGCGATGCCTCTATCATGAAGCGAACGTCAGCATTAAGCACAGCCCTCGCTCAATATGTCGCCGAAGAGATATACTGCCGGCTTGACCGCTTGTATTTAGAGAGAATACTTGACGACAGGACCTCTGCCGCAGATGGCTCAACGAACAAAGAGCTTGAGGCTTTAGTTGGCTTAGAGCAAGAAATGGAATCTCTCTATCCAGAAATCGATATCTTGTCCGAAATATCGACTAAGCAACAGTTTGTGGAGCCTATACTCCGACAACTCCAGAATCACCATGGTCGGCTGCGAATTAAATCCCATCAGAACCTCGATCTGGTGAGACCCTTACGCCTTGTCTGCCTGGCCGTTAACCTAACATTTCCCAGATTCTGGAAACCGTGACAGATATGACGGCACATATAGAAAGCCTTATTGCAACTCTGCAAGATTGGGAGTCATTTTGTGCGACGGTTGAGGCCTTTGCCTCGAAATATCGATCCGAGGTCGGTGACCAGATCTTAGACTCAACCTGTTCAAGGCGGGAAACAATGAGAAGGTTCTCTACCCAACCTACACATGTGCCATCCCAACCTGGGAAACAGTGTGGTCCTTTCCCAGAATCTGAGGCATTAGGTGGGCTCTTGCGTCGCCTCGGCCTAACGGCTGAGGCTGTCTTCCGGGCTGAGGAAGTTGACGGAGCGGCCCAATCTCTATTCCAACAGAGGCAGCACATGCTTGATGGTTTGCAAAGTTATGCGATGGCCAGTGATTCACCCCTGGCGGCCGAGCTTCTTCCAACAGACCGGGCAATTAGGCTGCTTTCCTCTTCGTTGGAGGCTGACTCTTTATGCACTGCCTCTCTATCAAGTGTGGAACATGAGAGGAGCCTCTCGGTGCTCGAGTCAAAGCTAAGCCGTATTCAGAAAGGCATTCAGAATCTCAACCAGGATGTTGTTTATCAGCGGGACAAGAACCAGGAAAAGTTCCTTGAGAAGTGGGGGTAGCGGCGCTGTCAAGATATCGGGTGCCTCATTTCATTCCTCCCAGCTGAGGTTCTGCGATTCGCACCCAAGCCTAGCATGGTACTCATAGCAGCCTTTTACAGCACGGACAAGTAGCCTCCAATGCAAATTTAGACTGGTATTTACCAAATCAGTGCCTTTGTGTATCTGCCATGCTTACGATCCTTGGAAGGCCAACAATACGCCACATATGCGATTCGCTGATTTGGCTGCGGCTGGTGCCGTGCCAGATGGGCAGCAAATACGAATAACCACTTGACGACCCAATACACTACCAACACCGATCAAAGAAATTGTGGGGTGAGGTGGAACCTTTAGCCTGCGGCTCTGTCTCCCAACGTCCGGGAGTTGGAAGTAAGAGAATATGCAAACAGCGTGTGCCGCTGAGAGACAATGTACAAAGTGTGGTATATATTTTGGCTCATATGGACAAATCTTGTGCGAGGGCATTTGTTCGCGGCCTAGGACAATGCAATATGGTTAGTCTCGTGACTAGAAATTTCTCTAGATCCTACCTAGTTGACAGCACAGCCACCAATGTCACCGCCACATCCTGTGAAGGACCACACGATCCAATCATCTAGCAACCCCATGCGCAATTCTTCAGGCACCTGGTCGAAGCAGACACCAAAATACGACGGTTTGCGAATGCGCCCAGAGGGATGACGTGCGTCCAAAAAGCTCCCCAGAATGTCGGCTTGTCCCGTTAGGTCTTGGTATCTCCTGTCGCCACCCTCCATCCCAGCCACTTGATTCCTCTGATCACCTCGTATTAAGCTGAACCCCCCTTTTCACCTTAAAATAAATGTACAATAAAATAGCAAACATAATAATAGCACACTGTTGGAGCTTTCAGGAATCAATACCTGCTATCCGCATTTAGAACCGCGTGGTTGAGTCTTCATTGTCAAGTCACCTGCTCTTTGTCCCACCTGGTGTTTGTGAAACCCGCTCGGCTGACTTGAAGAGCCATGATGGGATCAAGTCTAGTGACCGTAGAAGCAGCTGTGGTCGGGGAATCTCATGGAAAACCGGTAGGGCACCTCAGCTAGGTAACTGGACATTGTGCTGAGACGGTGGGCTGTGCGATCTAGGGCTGTTTTCCAACGTTTACTAGGAGTATGTGCTGAGCTTTCCCCTCTTCTCTTCAGCCTCGTTAGATCTAGTGTAAGTGATTTAATGCATGGTTATCTAGGCTGCAGTGGTATATGAGGTTAGGCAGGTACCCGGCTTCGATACGGTCCCTGAGTGTTATTATTTGCTGCTTCGGGACAGGTCTCGCTCCTACGGTAGTCCATCCAAACCATCCCATCTATCCCGGTTTTCCTTGTCGTAAGGCTTTTTTGCTTCCCCCAGGCATTTTGAAACTGTCTCCTCAGTGAGATACAAAAGCAACTTTGTTCACTCTATTTGAATATTTTATATATAGTATAGAAAGAAACCTCTGGCCGGGGCACTCGTGAGTCTCGAATTCTGATACCGAATCAGGCGCTCGTCTTTGGACCCATGACGTCGACCACATGTTCTTCGTTCATGACAACGCCTTGAAGAAGACTTACTATCGTTGCAGGTGAAACATCCCAAGGTATTACTCTTCTTTGTTAGCTGCTATTATGTGGTGCCTTTGTGTTTTGTTCTTGTTGTTAGCCCTTTGTCTGGAGCCCGATCTCGTTTCAGAACGAGTATACTCCAACAGTATCAAACATCCATTCACCTAAATTTGTACTCGAAATCATCACACATACCCAGAGAATCTCCGTGCCCACCTGTCAAATATATACCCGTCTGCTGCCGGGGCTGCACCGTGGTTCGCATTGCATCAAAAAGTTGCTAGAAAAGCGGGATGTGCCTCATTGAGATATCTTTGCTAATATGTACCCCCCAATGGAGATTCGAACAAGAAAGGTTATTCGCAGATACGTGTCCAAGGACGGCGGGTGCACACTAAAGCGTCCAAAGACCTTCGACCGAGAGGAATACTATTACAGGCGCCATGCTCAGCGGAACCGGTGCGACGAGCGATACTCACCAGCTTATCGCATAATCGAGCCACGGGAGCCACTGCGACCCAGAACAAGCCTCAACACACTGTGGAGGCGAGATTTATCGCCTGTCAGGAGCCAGCCCTTCAAAATGCGCTTGCCATATATGAGGCGGGTGGCACCGGTGAGAGATAATCTCGAACCTGAACCATCAAGAGGCCGTTCTAGATCTGCGCGCCCCTTTGTCGTCGATCCCGCTCCGGAGATACGATACGCATGGCCAAAAAGTGAGAGGCTAAGGTCCCCATCACCTGAGATCCGTTGTGTTTCACCGCGGAGGTCCTCTCCAAGAAGGCCATCTCCTCGACCTTTGAAAAGAGAAACAGAGACAACTGTAATCGTTGATGATATCCCAAGGAGGCCCAGGACACTGGAACGACATAACAGCGTCAGGCCACCACGCGAGAGGACGCCGGTAGTTGAGCGTGAGCCAGTCAAACGGAAACAAAATCCTGTAGAGATCCATCAGTCTCCAGAGCGAAGAAAAGGGCGAGAACGAAGTTCAGGAAGACGGCAAGTCCGGTTTGCGGAAGATATTCAGTATGAAGAGTATGGAAGCCGATCCCCAGAGCGCAATGAGCATCGCCAGCCAGAAAGCGATAGCGAGGAAAGTAAAAATATACGCCGCCGCATCCACGAGCGAAGAATCCCCATCGAAATTGATGGCAGACCTAATGTCAGGCGCTTGTTCCCAGAGAGAACGACGACATATCGGAGAATCGATACAGAAACACTCAGACCAAGACCGTCAGAAAGATCTCGTCTTCGGCCTCGGATTATCCAAGATGGGGACTGCGAACTCTCCCAAGCAAGTGATCGCATCTACGCCGCAGCTCGGCGAAGAAGAGATCAAGCAAGGCATATGTACGACTTTGTACCACATTCAAGCTCACGATGGAGGAATCGATTTGACGACATAGACTTCAGCTCGGACGACGATAGCTATCTTCTATCTCGACGATATGGCTGGCGCTGGCGATGAAGGAGTCCAAGTATTATTTCCAAATACATTAGCATCTTTCACTTCAGATGTTAGGACTTGTGTAACATAAAATTTAACGAATTTCTTTTGTTTTGGCGGAGAATATACACCTAGAGCGGCGTTCGAAAGGAATGGAGTTTCATCATAGCGTTTCCGTTTCGGAGTCTATAGCTGAGCTCAATTTCAGGAAGTAAAACATTTATTCGTGATAAAGCCGTTATCTCAGTGGCATTTTGTTCATATTCCCCGACACAGGAAGCCCGCGAAGCAATTGGTGCAAACTACAAAAGATGGAGTGGACCGCCGTCATCAACGTCAAAATTGGCTAAACCGCCGGCTGAAGTTCGTAGTTAGTGCCCGATCAGCTCATGCCCACCACTCCACCAGGCTTCGCCTGGACCTTCGGAAGGGTCAAGGTTTCCATGATGATACTACCAAATAATACCCGTTGAGGATTCATAATGAACCCTATGAGCGAGGCGGCAACTTTCTGCAGTATACCGACTCGCATCGAGCGTTCACGCCATTCGCGTGCTTCCGAGTCATTGCTTTAAAGCAGGTAGGTGCCCATGTGCTGGGCAGCCTCATTGTGAATGAGGTGCTTTACCGAAATGCAATACTACGATTGGCCTGGAACTAACAGTTCAAAGCTCTCAAGCAGAATACAATCAACTTTTACGAACATCCGAAGCCGGTGGATCGATTCTTTCCATAGTAAACATTCTCGTCCCCTATCCTTCGCCTCGCCCCGACCCTCTTCCTTAAACCATTTACGGGAATCAACCCTCACTTGTTATCGTTCTGGATTGATATACGATTAAGTTGGCAAAATCACAATCTGGACGAAGTCCGACCATGCGCTTATCATCGACGATACCGCGGTACATCTATCAGTATAGGGGTACGGTTCGCGGCGTTATATTTACTCTGTCAATCGATTGCGACCCGTCGTGATGAACGTTTGTACCGCTGAGGGTGAATCCCTGGTCGATAAAATAAACATAAAGCAGACGCTCGGGTTCTTATCGCTGCCCAAAGAAGCGGAAAATGACACAAACTTCAACAGCCCGGACGTGTTCGATATCAAACCAGAGCAGGCTTTGGAACTCTTGTGCGTCTGCATGGACAAACTCGAGGCAATGCAAACAATTAACATGCTAGGCGCTCAGGATGGCGATTCTTATCCGGGTCCTGAGGATACGCCAGCACAGGCGCCCGAATTGCATGTCTATGGCGACGGTCGCGATCGCATGCAACAATCCCTTCTGTCCAGGCGTTTCATGTCGAAGCGAGAACCACCGATAACATTAAGGGGATATCTCTCGCGGCTTCATCGCTACTGTCCACTGTCCACTGGGGTGTATCTTGCCGCAAGCCTATTCATCACTAGAATAGCAAATGTCGACCGAGCCTTAGCGGTGAACCGGAAGAATATTCATCGCCTGGTACTTGCTGGTCTGCGCGTGGCGATGAAGACGCTTGAGGACATCAGCTATTCCCATGGCCGGGTTGCTAAAGTTGGAGGAGTGTCAGAGTGGGAACTCACTCGCCTGGAACTCAGTTTCTGTTTTCTCGCAGATTTCGAACTACGTGTGGACAAACAAATGCTAGCTGAGCAGGCAAGAGTTTTACAATGGCACATGACACACTCATCCTCACCCAATCTCGTCACTTAGCCTTGAACAGTTTTTATGACACCTGGAAGATGGGACCGAATCTCACTAAAAAGGCAGAACCAGTGTCGCGATACATGGATGTGGTGTTGTGCTCGTATCCTTTAATCTTTTGTTTTGATTATCTTTTATTCTCGTCGATACCTCTTGTGTACTTTTAATAGCACTAAAACTTTTTCACAATAAGCGAGGGTTTGAATACGAAAATCAACGCGGTTGCCTAGCATGGCGAATGAATTGAGATAGAGCATATAAACAGCTGAGTAATAGGTGACTTCCATGCGTTTGGCCATGGCCGTTCAATTGGAAAATCACAATTAGACCAAAACCAAGAAGAAGATATTTGTCACTGGCAAATGATAAACAGTTGTGGTAGAGGTGCCATTCGTCCCTTCGTCAGCGTTGTTGTTAAAAGTCCCTGAGGCGCAAAAAAGTGATCGTCCTCTGGCTGGACAGTTTTAGTGTCCGCAGCCTCTCGTCTCCCTCGTTGACAACCAAATGATTTGTTCAGCCCCGAGCCCCCTTTACGATACGGCCTCATTTTCTTCTCAGCCTTCTTTCATCCTCTTTAATTTGACGACGTCATTGAATATCGGCAGCTATTGTCTGTTTGCTTGTTTATGACTTCCGGATTGCTTCGTTGAGCCTGCATAGCGCATCCCCGAACTCATCTCGTGTCACGTCTCCGCCACGCTGTTCCCGAGTTTCTTCGCCCAATTTTCTATTTAATCCCGTGGTCCCGGTTCGAGTCGAGCTGCCTACCCGGAGAAGAATAGGCGGATTATGTCGTCTGGGGGTTCCTCGTCCGCGCCTCAAGCCAGCAGCAGCAGCAACAGCTCTGCTGCCTTAGGCTCAAGTTCACCGTCCGCGCCCTCTGGCAAAAGTGCCGCGACTCCCCCGAAAGTCGCTACCGATGATGTGTCCGTTGAGCTTAAAAATATGAATCCGGAACGGAGCCCCGCGCGGTCAATCCCGCTGGGTGAAGATATTATGCAGATTGCTCGAATCGGTGAGGTTTCGGTTATGCAAAAACTGTTTGAGGAGAAAAAGTTCACCGCAAACCACGCGGATGAAGAGGGAATTACCCCATTACATGTGCGTTTGAATCTTCAGGGGGTCGCGATATGTATGAGGAACACCATGCTAACCATGAACTTGGCGATTAGTGGGCCGCGATCAACAACCAATATGCGATGTGCAAGTTCCTACTTGAGTCTGGAGCGGATGTAAATGCGAAAGGAGGAGATTCAGTTGCCACACCAGCGATGTGGGCAGCTCAGCGGTGCCACTATTATATTGTGCATTTGTTGCTCCAGAGCGGAGCTGATCCGCTTCTTACCGACGTCCAAGGCTATAATATCCTTCATCTCGCAACGATCGATGGGAACGCGTTCTTACTCGTACTGCTCCTCCACCAGGAAATACCGGTTGACGTTGTCGACCAGCAGGGACATACGGGGTTGATGTGGGCGGCTTATAAAGGATATCCGGCATGTGTGGATCTGTTCTTGCGTTGGGGTGCCAATCCGAACACTGTTGATGACGGTGGACTGGCACCTCTCCACTGGGCTCTTGTCAAGGGGTCTTTGCCGTGTGTTCTGAAAATCCTCGAATATGGTGCCGATCGATTTGCAACGACAACGGATGGCAAAACGCCGGCCCTAGTAGCACAAGAAATGAACACAAGGCATGTCTGGTTCCGTGCCCTGAACGAGTGTGGCTATGATGCGGAAGGAAATCGGAAGGTTCTTCCCATGGGTTTAGCCCCTTACGTGAGAGACAAGAGCATCATGTCTAAATTCTTCTTTCTTTGGCCATTCGTTCTGATTTTTGTGGTTGTATGGATCCTGAGCCACATGGTCATCTATTTCGCCATTCCCATTGCGATTGTGGCAGTATTTGGGCTACAATGGGTTGCCAAGAAGGCTGCCAGCCAGGGTCCTCCTGAATATCGGTTCATTCAAAAAACGGTAAGAGCGAGTATGTCTTCCGAAGCCATCGCAATGTGCTGATGATTATTTTTTAGCCATTCTTGGCTGGTGTTTTTGCGGGCTCGTTATTTTGGGTATTTATCAGATATTTGCTCCATGTTTTGCCAGGTAAGGGCTTATCTCCAACTTAACGTCTCGTGTGCTGTACTAATATATGAAACTGTAGCGACGTATTCCACGCATCCCTTTTTGAACATAGGTTTCGCTATATTTTTCTCGTTGACGACGTACTTCTACTTCTACTCAATGGTTGCGGATCCAGGGCATGTGCCGAAGCTTGGCAGCAGGAACCAGCAAAAATCGGTGATCAGCGAACTGTTTGAGGAGTGGAAGTTTGACGAAGAGAATTTCTGCGTCTACTGCATGATCCGAAGACCCCTTCGCAGTAAACACTGCAAGCGTTGCTCTCGTTGCGTTTCAAAACATGACCAGTAAGACTTGGCCAATCCTTCTCCAAATGTTAAATGCTAATGCATGCAGTCACTGCCCCTGGATTGATAACTGCGTCGGTGCCAACAACTTGCGACAGTTTGTTTTGTACATTCTTTGTTTGGAGGTCGGCATTATCTTATTCCTGCATTTGACGTTCAATTGTTAGTACACATCATTCCCGCGTGGCTTACGAGAGACACTACTAACATGAGTAAGATATCAACGGGCTGCCAGCCCCTGCGGAACCGAAGTGCAACGTCCTGAATGATCAGATATGCGATTTTGTACTTCGCGATACTTTCACTCTTCTCCTTGATATTTGGATAGCTATCCAGCTGGTCTGGATTACTATGCTTGGTGCTGTTCAGCTGGTTCAGGTCTCTCGAAATCAGACAACGTACGAAAACATGAGAGGGCATTCGATGGACCGAAGCTATCCCAGCTCGCGGGCTTTCGCTTCGGCGGTTGCAGCGGGCACGACCTCACTCGACGCCGCCGGTCTTTCAGCTTCTGGTCAAGGCCCAAATCCTGCGCTGGGACAAGGGGGACATCGTCACCGAGGCGGCTGCTTAAAACAGTGGTCATCTCTACTCGGGTTTGACACGTTCTTCGCAACCGCCCGCGATGGCCTCCGAGATGGCCCCGGGGCTGCAAGACCCAAGAATCCTTTCTCACGCGGCATCGCCACTAACTGCCGAGACTTCTGGTGTGATCCAGCACCCTATTTCGGGAAGCGAGAACCCGGCTCTGCAATGCTTGGTGGTGAAATTGTCAACTATAACCGGATGTACGAGTCTCCATCGAGAATGCACCGTAGTGGCGACTACCGGAGTGTGGCATACGAAGACGATGTCGTATAAAGCGAGTTGCACTAGATGTTTTAATTGACGAAAAGCGAGCCCTAAGGGGGATATAATGTTACATCTGTTGGGTAATGCGGAGGGGTAGTTCTTTGTATAATGTTGCATATACAGTTCCATATTTTCTATTTGCCTGTATATACTGCGAGGCATGATTAACCAACCATCCATGATAATATATAGTATTAGTACATTTTTTTCCCCAGGATTGTTGCACACCGAGTCAGTCATTAACTCGCAAGTACCAGGAGGACCAGCCGACATGCCGACACTCCCATGTTTTGAAGTATCCGCAGTTGTAAATGAAAAATACACGTCTCGGGGCGTGTTTAAAAAAAAAAAAAAAAAAAAAAAAAAACATTCCATGGAAGAGCCTAAGATTTACGGTTTGCAGACGAAACCGATGATCCGATATCGCACATCCGCCGTAAATTTTCAGTTCCATTGCCCGGTCACTTT